AAGCAACGAATCAAAAGGTATTATAACCGAAGAACCAAGCTCCGCCATTTCAAGCCTGGGGACTTAGTGTTAAGAAAAATTACCATTAATACCCGGAATCCGAATGAAGGGAAGCTAGGACCGAATTGGGAAGGACCATATCAGGTACTCGAGGACATCGGAAAGGGATCATACAGGATCGGCGTTATAGACGGCAAACAGTTATCAAGCAATTGGAATGTATCACATCTGAAACGGTACTACTGTTAAGGTACAACCTTTCCATATTCGTTTACATCTCGAAACTGACCCCTGCAGAAGTCCGAACAGGGGACGGATCTCTCATCAGAAAGCACGCGTTGCACTCTTTTTTCCTTAAGACCGATTTTTATCCCAAATGGGTTTTTCGGCAAGGTTTTTAATGAGGCAACCACTGGTCGTGCAGCACTTATGATAATATCCGAGGCCCCGTAAGAGAGTTACTTCACAGCGACATGGTCCCGATAGGAAAACTGTAAAGAGCCAAATGATCGAAGCGAGCCATGCTCGTATAAGTTGGCCCGAACCCAGGCGTGTAATAACATGTGAAGAATTAAGATATAATGCGACCATTAAGCCTACGGGCTATATATTTTTTATCTCAAGTTCGAGCAAAAACTGTTTCGACCAAATAAGCCTACGGGCTATTTCTCATTTTGAGTTCGAGCAAACACTCACTCAACCAAATAGCCTACGGGCTACATTAATTCGANGACATGGTCCCGATAGGAAAACTGTAAAGAGCCAAATTATCGAAGCGAGCCATGCTCGTATAAGTTGGCTCGAACCCAGGCGTGTAATAATATGTGAAGAATTAAGATATAATGCGACCATTAAGCCTACGGGCTATATATTTTTTATCTCAAGTTCGAGCAAAACATGTTTCGACCAAATAAGCCTACGGGCTATATATTTTTTATCTCAAGTTCGAGCAAAACATGTTTCGACCAAATAAGCCTACGGGCTATATATTTTTTATCTCAAGTTCGAGCAAAACATGTTTCGACCAAATAAGCCTACGGGCTATATATTTTTTATCTCAAGTTCGAGCAAAACATGTTTCGACCAAATAAGCCTACGGGCTATATATTTTTTATCTCAAGTTCGAGCAAAACATGTTTCGACCAAATAAGCCTACGGGCTATATATTTTTTATCTCAAGTTCGAGCAAAACATGTTTCGACCAAATAAGCCTACGGGCTATATATTTTTTATCTCAAGTTCGAGCAAAACATGTTTCGACCAAATAAGCCTACGGGCTATATATTTTTTATCTCAAGTTCGAGCAAAACATGTTTCGACCAAATAAGCCTACGGGCTATTTTTTATCTCGAGTTCGAGCAAAAACTCACTCGACCAAATAGCCTATGGGCTGCATTAATTCGAGTTCGAATAATTCACTCGACCAAGCCTACGGGCTACATTAATTCGAGCACAAGCAAACACTCGCTCGACCATCACGCCCACGGGCTATATTCTCTTCAAAATCGAATCGTTGATAATTAAATCGAGCACAAGCAGACACTCGCTCGGTTGAAGAGACTGCGAGGTTCGAGTTTGATTAATTGGTTTAAAATATTATGGAAATATTCATGAGGCAAATCACAGCAACCCAGGAAACAGAATCAAAAGCAAGTCGGCAAGAAAAGAGGCCTATACACAAAATTTATTTAAATGGGAGCGGTCTTTTCTTTATCAGATTCCCTCCCCGGTTCTCAGATCCACTTTTGCGCCCGTCGTCGTCATCATCATCATCGGAAACCAGAGCTTCGGCATCAGCCTCGAGTTTTTTTGCCCTTTTTATCTCTTCCGTGAGATCGAAGCCTCGAGCATGAATCTCCTCGAGGGTTTCTCTCCTGGATCGGTACTTAGCAAGTTCGGCTGCCTCTCTTGCCTGAACTTGGGCAGCTTCAGCATCAGCCCGATAGACGGCCATGAACGCATCCGCATAAGTCTTTGCCTTTTCAGTATCGGATTCGGCCTTGGCGAGTACTGAGGCCAACCGAGCCTCAAGCTCCTTGATTTTCTTTGCTTGAACTAGGTTTTTCTCCTTCACTTTCTGAAGTTGGGTTTCATACGACGATAACTGGGCTCGAGCGGTCTCTTTTTCTGCAGCAAAGCGGTCCATACCTTCTTTCCACCGCAAGGATTCCATCCTTATCACATCGACCTCCTCACGCAGCCTCCCTATCATCTCGATTTTTTTCTGCAGCTGTGAGACCGAAATATTAGATACCGTTCCGGTATCAAACCCATAGGTTTTCAAAAGCATCATTACCTGCTCAGACAAATCATTCTGGTCTCGATAAGCCTTGGACAGCTCGGCCCGGAGATCTTTTATTTCCTCTTCTCTCTGTCCTAAGGAAAGTTTGAGAGAGTTCGTCTCATCGATAGCGCATTTCAGGTCGGTCGCGTATCGATGCAGCTCATTTTGGGAACGAGAACATTGTTCTCGATGGACTGCCGCAGCCTATGAAGAAATAAGGAGCAAAGTTAACGAGAGACGAGCATAAAGGCAATACCAACAAAAAGGTTTTCAAAAGACTCACTTGGTCCAAAGCCTGCCGCAAACCGTGAAAAAGATCCGATTCATCACCGGCAACGTCCTCGATACCAGTAAACAGGTCACAAAACGGATCCTCTTCATCGTGAGGCCTATCTAGATTAAGGGCCCCCAGAGCTTGAGCTTCCCGAATAACCCCTGCGGAAAAAGTGGGAAAGAGAGGCGAGTCCTCGATCGCTGCTGCCTCAAGTGAATCGCTAGGAGCATTCCCCTCGGCTCGGAGGGGTTCGAAGGGCTCCCTGATTGTAACCCCTGCGGGTTGATTCCGATGAGAGGTGTCTTCGATATCCGATAGTTCGGGGACTCTGCCGGAACCACTCTCCGGTATATTTTCAGTTCGAGATGGAGCCCCATAGGGCATCATCGATCCAGCTGGCATTGAAGCATCGGTGGCTCTCTTCGTCCGGACAGCCAGCATGGACTCATTATTTTCTTCTTCTTCTTCTTCTTCTTCTTCTTCTTCTTCATCCCTTAGGCGCAACACGGATTCTACGGTCAAAGGAATGACATTCTTGTTTGGTTTACGAGCCGTCATCTTCTTCGGTTTTGGATATTCGGACAACGAAGCTCTCTTCTTTTTATTTTCCTTCACAGGCTTTGGAACGAAGGTCGAGACATCCTCCTCATTAGACAGAGGTCTCAAGACCACATCCTTACCCAAACCTGCATATGGGAAACTTTATCAAAAATATATCGAGAAGTGCCTTGTCAGATTCTGAGAAATGAGCTTACCGTGGTTTTTGGCCTCCCACCGACCCTTAGACAAATCACGCCATGAGCGCTCGACATATGTGGAAGTCGAAACAAGAGCCCGTACCCAATTCTTGAGGTCGAGAACCGCTCCGGGCATCCAGGGAACCGCTACATCACGAAAAGGGGAGTGTCNTTCCACCGGTGTCTCATCGGCGACACACTGTGAAGATGAAGCTTTCTCTTTCTGAGGAACTGTTTACGATGTTTTCGCCATTTTTTGAATTCAAAAATAAGGAGCAGAAGGAGGTGATAGAGATTTGGTAGAATTGAGGGATCCTTTCGGAAAGAAATCACAGCTTTTTTGCAAGAAGAGATTGAGAAATTTTAGAAGATTGAAGATGTAAAATTGGTAAAAGATAAAGGTGAGAGTGATTTATAGGTTCAAAGCGACGGCGGTTCATGTGCGTCATGGTCGAACCTGATGGAATCAACAAAATATAATCCAATCGAGCGGTTAAAAATCATATCGTTTCTCGCCATATTTATTTCTGAGAAACGAGGGGACTATCTGTGTACGGTCGAAATGAATTTGGCATGTTCGGTACGGTTCGAAGGGTGATGTATCGAAGTAAGATCCCGAAGGGGGGAGAGGG